CAAGCGACGAAAACCCAACCCCGATGGCAAACACCGGGGGGGGCGGCTTGTTTTACAACGTCGTTGCCAAGCGACGAAAACCCAACCTCGATGGCAAACACCGGGGGGGGCGTCGACTTGGAAGAGCCGAGCGTAGAGTACCCTTTTCGCTCGCTGGTCGATTCGCTGTTGTGGATTGCCTCGTTGACTAGGCCGGATATCGCGAAGTCGGTGAGAGCAGTGGCGAGGTACTGTAGTGCATCGAAGTTGATCCACTGGAAGGCTGCACTTGGCATTTTAGGATATGCAGTTAGGACTAGTTCTTTGGGGATTTCTTTTCAGAGGGGGACAGTTTCGGGATTTTCTTTGATTGCGTTTGTCGACACGGACTACGCTTCCCGTGCGGCAGACCGTAGGTCGGTTTCGGGAGGGGTATACCCCCTATATGGATGTGTGCAGGAGGGGCGATTGCATGGTTCTCCAAGACTCAAAAGTGTGTGACTTTGTCTACCACGCAGGCAGAATACGTGGCGATGGCGGACATGGGGAAGGAGATTTTGTTTTTGAGGCAGGTTTGGCGTTTCATGCTGCCTAAGGAGTTGCGGCCGTGCATTCCACTGTATGTATGAAGATAACGAAGGGGCTATCCAGATCGCAAAACACCCGATCTCGAATTCCAACTCGAAGCACATCGACGTGCGGCATCACTTCCTCAGGCAGCTCGTAGATGAGAAGGAGGTAGATATCATCCACGGAGCGTCGAAGTATCAGCATGCTGACTTCCTCACGAAGGCGCTACCTGAGAGAGAGTTGTTTCCCACCGGGACTACGTGATGAACTTGAAGTGAATAGTCCGGGAGATCTTTTTCGTTTTTGGGTCTTGTGTCTTTTGTTTATATTTCTTTCGATTTTTGGTTTTTGTCTTGATTTGTGTGATTTTCTGAGAAATTGAGNTTTTTTTTTTTCTTTCGATTTTTGTTTTTTTCTGTGTTGATTTGTTTGATTTTCTGAGAAATCGAGTTCAAGATTGACAGGTGGAAATTGTCGCATTTCTGGTTGAATGGTTGGCAATAATGCAAACCGATAGGAATTCTAACGAATGTTCCTGGTTTAAGGGTTTTAGTGTTGTGACAAGAATAATGCAGTTAGGGATGAAGGGAATGTCTTGCACAAAATTTCATTTCGGTCAGGTATGTGGTATGTATGGGATGACGATAAGGATAGTATATTTAAGGGTACCCAGACAAGGGATTTTGACGCTGCTGGCTCTTTTCTCATACTTGATAACAGTACAAAGAAAGAAAACAACCTTCCCGCCGGAGGAACCTGGTCCGTTGTGCTAGTATCAGTAGAGGATATCATCAAGAGGCGTCGTGCGTGCTGGCACGTTCAGGTATACTACTGGGGCTGAAATATCGAAGGTCGCAGCAGCCTCTGAAAACGGTCCGAAATCTGCGCCGGAACCAAGCGGAACCCAACACTTGTCACAGCGGTGCTCACCACCACGGACCGCAAACCCCTCAACTGCGGGTTGTCAGCAGTAGCTGGTGGCATCAGCTACTGCTGTAAACCTGCAGTTCAGAAGATTGGGTTCAGTGGCGGCGAGCACAAGCAGTACAAGACACTGGGTGTCGATCTAACTTGCGGAGATTTGCGGAGATTGTGGGCCACTTCAACGACACTCGATACCACCACCACAGAAGAAGTTTTGAGCGCGCCAACACACCCCCCCGCTGCTATAGGGTGTCCTCTAGTGATATTGGTACAATGGACCAGGTTCCTAGTAACACCGGCCTTATTTGAGCGCCTTCCGTTTGGGCTCTTTTGACTTGAATTTAGACTCGTGTGGATTTTTATCTTGGTTTCAAAGGATGCGTGTGGAGGTAGACGCGCGAAAAGCACGTTTTGAGCGGTCTCTACTGTTGCCCTGTGACAGAATTTTGCAAGGTTAGGTTCTGTAGGGTACCCACAGATCTATACCGGGGGTAA